TGCTTCCATTTAGCCACCTGTATGTCCGTGGCTCTATTTTTTGACAGCCCAATCAGCTGTTTTGGGTTTTTCAAACATGCACGTGCACTGGATCAGTCCACACAGGGGGATCGAAGGAAGTCATATATTTTCCATCACTGCAGGGATATACAGTCATGGGAAGATGCACATTTTTGGGACAGAATCGGGTTATCAGCGCACCTTTTAAATACATGCTTTTCAAGTCTTAACCTGATTTCGCCTGCACTTTCCCCAAACATCATTTAGCCAGCCTCCCTCCTTTATCCCAGGTTCTTTTGGGTTTTAGGGTATGTGTGGAAGGGCTCCCCATTTCATTCTACTTCAAATACACAGCTACACTGAGACTCGGGCATCTGCAGAGAAAAAGATCCTATTTGTTCTGTGGCTCCTGGGAAACAGCTCAGAAGAAGACAGTGGCATTGCAGGGAAACATAGCTGTACAAGTATTTATTAGGCCTGGGTAACAACGCAAAAATTTGGTTTTGTAATCGTTTTGTAATTGGGGTGTTTTTTTGTTTCGTTATTTAAAATAATTACAAAATTTTCCAAAAAAAGTTTTGGTATTTACAAAATTTTGTAAATATTAACGAATTTTTAGAATATTTTTTTTATTTTTTAAGAATAATATTAAAAATAATATTAAAAAATAATATTAAAAAATAATGTTAAAATTAATATTAAAAAATAATATTAAAAAATATTTTAAAATGGAAAACGAAACCGCACAGGCCTACTATACAGACATAGTGGGTTTGAGTCAGACCCAGCTAACACCTCCCAACAAAGGATTCCCCTGAGCAGGAAGGAGCCAGACTTTGAAGCTACAAGGCCATTTAATCCCAATCAAGCTGTCCAATGGCAACATTCACACTTGCCTCCAACAGACAAGAGTTCTTTCTCCCACCCTGGACCTTCTACAGCCAGGCTTTGAAGCTGCGAGGCCATTCAATGCTAATCAAGGTGGCCAATGGCAGCATTCACAATTGCCTCCAACAGACAAGGGTTCTTTCTCCCACCCTGGACGTTATTTCACAGGGATATAAACCCTACTTGCCTAGTTTCCAACAAACCTCTGAGGATGCCTGCTATAAGATATGAGAGAAACGTCAGGAGAGAATGCTCCTGAATCCTCCTCCACATGCGGCTGCATAGTGAGTGAAGTACCAGGGGCGGCTGAAGCAACTTACGTGCCAAATCCCTGGCTGTGGGTTGCTTGCTTGCTCGCTTCTCCAAGCGGGCGAAAGGAGAGGGAGAGAGAAAAACAGTGTGCTGCTGCCTGTCTCTTTAAGGAAGGAGCACATGCCCTCGGCTGCCGGTTTGGCGGAGGGAAGGAGGCAGGCGCGCGCTTGGTTGCTCTGGGCAACCAAGCGCGCGCCTGCCTCCCTCCCCCCGCCAAACGCGGCAGCCGAGGGCTCCATGTGCTCCTTCCTTAAAGAGACAGGCAGCAGCACACTGTTTTTCTCTCTCCCTCTCCTTTCGCCCGCTTGGAGAAGCGAGCAAGCAAGCAACCCACAGCCAGGGATTTGGCACGTAAGTTGCTTCAGCCGCCCCTGGTACTTCACTCACTATGCAGCCGCATGTGGAGGAGGAGGAGTGTTGGAAAACGGGGAGAGGGGAAAGAGGGCGGGGAGAGCAGCCCAGGCCGAGAAAGAGGGGAATGGCACCAGCACTCCAGCAGCCTCCATCCCATTAACGAAACGAGCGGAAGCTCGTTAAATTTATGGGGGCTGCCGGTTCGATATTTTTAAACCCTTCCGGGTTTGAAAATGTGTTTTGATATCGCTTCAAAAATGCAAAAATAACGAATTAATAACGAAATAACGAAATAACGAACTAAATAGCCCAGGCCTAGTATTTATACTTGGGAATACTAATTTATGTCAAAGTTTGTAGAACTGCACAAGAAAACAATGTTTATACAGATCTATAGTTACCCCATTTTACTGTATGTGTTGATTGTATCAGTAGCTTTTTGAAGTGTGAAATCATCATAGCATTTGCTTAATGAATTGTGTATTGTTGCTCTTCATTCACGGGATTTGCTCTCATATTAAGTTTGATGCTTCACTTAACAAATTCTCCTTTCTCTATGTTTGATACGTTTTTGCCAAATTATTCCTGATTGTATCCATTAATCTTCAGTCACATTTGACAAAAAATAAATTGCTCTGATCTTCTAAAGTTACTGGGAATAATTAGATTTTTTTTTTGAGGACATCAAAGTTTAGGGAGTCCAAGAGAGGCTAATGCACTTGTTTACAGTAGACTCTCGCCATAAAACACAGCAAATTTTAGTATAATGCAGGCTAAAAGATACCAGATGTTATTGATCACCTGTGTTTCCTCAGTGGGTATGCATAGTGATATTGTTTCCAACACTTTCTGTAAGAATCCATTGGTAGGTGTTCTCCTTTTTCCGTGTTTCCCTGTTTGCACACTTCTGCTTGGCTAGTATGATATTTACAGGAATACTTCTTAACTTAGTTTTAAAGACTGCTCCACAACTTTAGAGAATAGTCTGTAGCTTTGATTTACTTTCCCCCTAATGAGAGATTACATTTCTAGTTTTCTAGGTGCTTATCTTAATTGGATTTATGTTGTGAATTGCTGCATTTTATGAAACAGATGTAATGGTTTATGTTTGAGTGTCTGTGGCTGATGATCATCTAATAATTCTGATATTTTGCACTGCAATTCCTAAGAGAGAAGGAGAGAAAGACATATGAATACATAATACATACATATACAGAGCTGAGAAGACACTTCTGTTATGTTAATAATATTATTAATTTCTGCATCTCTTTATTTTATTGTAAGTCAGATCTATTATGTAAAATTATATCAACTGGATATCCCCTGTCCACCCTCCATCTTGTTCCGATACAGAGGAAATCTGTGAGATCTGTGGGGGGACCTACAGTCAGGGAGGAGACTGATAGGCGTGCAGTGGATGGCTTTCACAGTGTTCAACCTTATTTCTCTCATAAATGATACTACCACTACTACTACTACTACTACTAAGGCCTTGCCTAAGTACACATCGTTTGTCATTTTTTAAATAGCTAGCACCCCCTTAAATTGGATTAAATCCTTGCAAGGAGTAGTTGACTTTGGTGGACCTTAACCTTATCTAGTCAGCATTTATATTCTTAAAAGTCTGTAGTCACTCTGCAAATTGGCACATATCACTGGACTGTGAGGAAAAGAAAATTAGACGACATAGAGTTAATTGAAAGAAGTCTGCCTCTAAACTAGTGGGAATATATATACAATAAAGCACCTCTACTTTACCTAGATTCCATCCCTCATATGGTAGAAGAAAAATGTGTAGAGGAATGTAATCATTTTTGTTACTATTGTTCAATGTACAAAATAGTCGCTAAGGTGTATTACAGGATAACTAATCCATGTGTTACTAGTGAAAACAGATGGAGGGGTTTTTATTGATTAATTAGCTAGATTTTAATTGATAAAACACTAAATGCATTTTTCATGTTACTGAAATGTTGAAATAGATGTCTTTTTGATATATTGAAGGAACACTAAAATAGCTTTTGTTAACTTAATTTTATTAAGTTAATGATCACTCATTGTTGAATGGAAAGGCCATCTTTTATTTGTCATCTGTATTCCCTTTGCTTTCCCTTTTCCTCTCCCTTTTGCAGTAAAACAAGGGACAGCAGCAAAACAGTGTGGCCCTAAATCTGTTTCCCCTTTGATTTTAAAATGCCCCCATTAGTTTATCTGTTAAAGCTTGAGTTGACAGGTGATTAAACTCATTTTTATTATTTTATTTGAAGCTTTTATCTTAAAAATCACTTTTCATCTGAAGACTCACTCAGCCCTTCCAATGCTAAAAAAAAAAATGAAAATTAAGACAAATGATGATATGATAGTGAACATGATGTTTTAATTCAGAGTTGTGGTAATAGTTAACACCTTGTGCAGTGGAATCTTGCCCTTTTCCCCATTCTACAGCCCTCCACATGACTTGACTATCTACTCAGAAAGGTTTTGCAGCTTTTTTTTGAGAACCAATACCACTTTGCCATGGGAGGAGCTACGTGGGAATTGATGTTCTTCTGTTTTGACCAACTGAAACAGATCTATCGCTGGAATGACATAGGGTGATTATCTATGAACACTTTATCCTAGGACCGATCCAGAGGGGTTTTGTGGCTCTTACCACCAGCTCCCTGGCCACTGAGGAGGCAGGAGGGAATCCTTACATATGCCCTTCGCTGCTGCAGAGATGGGAAAGAGTCCTGACCACCAGCCATTTTATACCCACTGATCACCACTACAACAAGAATAGGAGGGGAACAGAAAATGCCATCCTGTGTTCCTGGAATGGCCATGTAAACAGACATGATTGGTTCTGTCTTGAAACCAATGTAAACACTTCACAATAGATTTATGTAAATTTCTAAAACAACCACTAGGTAACAATCAGAAAAATTGATGTTGCCAAATTTTCCAGGACACCGACATTGAGCTAAGGGGACCTCATTTTAGTCAGGACCCACAGTTTGAGAAATAGTGGTATAGGGAATAGTAGGATTTTGTTATATATCTATTCAGAAGTGCATCCCTTTAAGTGGGCCAGATTTCTAAGTTTCTTGCCTTCTCCTTATGTTTTATTTTTTTCCTGAAATATCAGAGGGAAACCCATATGATTTGGTTATTTATAGAAATCTAGGTAAATTTCATACATTTTTTCAACTCTTGTGGTTGTTGCTTATATATTCTTATACTCCTTTTTCCCATTTGTGGCCATTTTCATTTATCATATTAAAAAAGAAGAGATTTCCCCGAAGAAGCTGCTTGCAAAAGAGATGGCACTGTGTACTTAAAATACAAATTCATCGATGTTCACAGTAATGTTTCTTGCAATTGTCTCTACCCTAGAGAAAGATCTTTAATGAATTATGTACAAATTGTGTAATTTAAGAAGTTAATTTAGTTTTCTGGTTACACAGGCCTAAAAACAGCCCTTGTAGAAAGAGATGATTTCTCATCAGGGACCAGCAGCAGAAGCACTAAGCTGATCCACGGAGGAGTGAGATATCTTCAGAAGGCCATCATGAAGTTGGATTTTGACCAGGTAATTGTTCTGTGAGAGTAACTATGAAGCCAAAAAAAGGCTTGAGCTCTTTCCTGATATAATTAAATTTGTTCTCCCATTCATGGTTTTTATTATACTCTGAACTTTGAATACATTTGTCATTGGCTCGCTGTAGATATTGAGTATAATGCAATGAGAAAGACATAGGGGTAGTTGATATATGAATTGTGATAAATTTTAAATCTTACAATTTCCCTAGCACTCCCAAATGGCACATGGTATACATTTAAAAAAATGTTGCTGCTTTTCATAGAGCTTATAACATCATGATAAGTAGAATATGGAGACAAGTGGAGAGAAATGAGCTGTGTGTGTGTGGGGGGGGGGGGCTGAGGAAAAATTTGAAGCATCCTTTTAAAATGCAACATTACTAGCAACACACATTTTAAATTATGTACATAAAATTCTGTTTCCCATTCAACTGAACCTGGATTTCATAGTTTAGTCAAAATGGATATCTTAATATCCATTGATCTGTTGGCAGAATGAGAATACAGCAGGACCCCAGTATCCATGGACCACAGGTGCATTCCTGGACCACAGATAATAGCAGACCCTATTGAAATGAAGGACTTCTGCCTCAAGGATTCCATAGAGCTGTGCTGAAATGCCTACCAAATACCCAGTGAAGAAGCAACTGGATAGAAGTCCCACAGATATCAGGACCACACTGTATTTTTTTCTATCAGGCTAAGTTTCTGAAGGCTGGATCTTTTTAAAAATCAGCAATAGTGACAGTCATTAAGAGACACTGATCAGTCCTTGTAGGGCCATACATTTTATTCTATCGAAATATGTTGATCAGATGCAATTTGCAGAGGCAGAGAGTTTCTGTGGTCCCAAAGAAAGTTCTAAAACTTCTTTATTTTGCAGTTTTTAAGAATCTAACTCTATTACTGTAACTTTTTGTGCTATGCTATTAATATAATATACTGTAACTACATATAACTTGTAAGCTGCTCTGAGTCCCCTTTAGAGTGAGAAGGGCGGCATATAAATGCCATGAATAAATAGATAGATAGATAGATAAATAAATAAAAACTTTGTTAGCACTGAAAGGGAATACAAAAAGTTGTGTCTGGTTCTGTCCACAATAAATTTATTAGTGAAGAAGCCAATGATAGGCAGCACTCCTGAACCTTGCAATCTTCTATGTGTTGAGGGCTTTAGCTAGGCTGGTCCCTGTAGCTGTCCATGTGGCTTGTTGTTGATGATGAAGATGATGATTTCTTATTTTCCTTTCATCATTGATCAAGACAAGATAAAACAACAAAAACGCGTTGTGTTGAGATCACTGCATGTTGTAGCTAGCATTTATCATTGAGATGATAAATGAAACAAAGAGCATCATTCCATGATGAAGAATATTTCTAGCTGCATTGAACTGGTAGTTGGAACAGCTCTTGTGTAATTTTGGCAGAAGATGACAGAACAGTTAAGTGGGATGCTTCAGTTTCTTAATTGTAGTATGCTGTAAAAATGAAGGGAGAAAATCAGTAATAAAGAAACCTTAGGGCCCTTTCAGATATAGGTAAATCCTGGGAGGAACTGGGATTTTAATTTCCAGTTCCTCTCAGGATTTAGTCCCCACTACCAACCCAAACCCCAGGCTTTCCCTTTTGGGTGGTGGCTGTATGTCCTCCCAGATCAATCTCTGGACATCAACCCCCCCCCCCCGTCCTCCAAATTACCCAAGGGGCCTGCTGGCAGTGTAGGCCCTTCCGGAGGGGGGAGGAGGGGGGAGGAGGGACACATCATTTTTGTTTGCCAGGAGAACTCTCAAATTTTTTTGGGGGGGGAATGGGGGGCTGTGAGGGGAGGGGATAGGTGTCATCCTGCTCCTTCAAGCTCTTTGAGCCCAAAGAATGGGGTTCACTATGGAAATTGAGTCAATCCCACAGGGCCCTCACATGGAAAGATCTGGACCTTATCATAAGGTTCTAGTCTTTCCAGGTGTTTCATAAATCCGGAGCAAACTGGGAAATCCCAGTTTTCTCTGAATTAATTTTGTTTTACCTGAGATGTCATTTGGACACCTCAGTTAAAACTGAGATGGGTCCCATTTTGGGCCTGTCTGAAAGGGCCTTCAGATTACTTATCGGTTAAGATAATGGAATGATATATGTTGAAGACATCAAGATTTACAGTTTTGAATATTTTGTAATGTTTACACATAGATTGTATTTCATTTGATTATAAGTCAGAATATTATTGTAGTAGATATCAAAAGTTATACCCTTAATGGGTTACCCCAAATTGGGAAATTGTAAAAAGGATAGATACTAGTAAATAAATATGGTAAAATAAATATCAATATTTCTCAGTTCAGTCTACAGCTTTGATATGCTATTTTTTTATTTGCAAGAAAAGTACTAATCAATTTGTCTTAGGCTGGTTCCACACATACATTAAACCTGTTTCGGAGCAGGATGAAGAAACCTGCTCTGAAGCAAGTTTAAGGGAGAAAAAATGGGCTTTACTTGTTGGCTGTCCACATGCCATCCTGGATATTTTCAGGGTGGCATCTGTTTATCGAACCCCCTTCACAAATAAACCCTTAAAATTAAAAGGAAACTTACCTGGAGCCATTAGACTTGTTTTCCTGCCTGATGGAACATATCAATGACATGTGAAAAGACAGGGAGAGCCAGGAGTGATCCCCCACCCATCTTCTTGTGCGCCATTGATATGTTCCATCAGGCAGGAAGACAGGCCTACCAACTCCTAATAAGTTTCTTTTTAACTTTTAAGTGTTTTTAGGGGGTTTAGGGAAGGAGTTGGGGTGCATCTAACCTCTGGGCTCCAGGAGTCCAGAAGGTGTGAGATGGGTCTATGGACAGGTCCCAGTGTATTCCCAGGACTACCCATGGGCCTGTCCCCACAGGGTCCATAGCCCATTAGACCCGGTCCTTTCAATGGGCTATTAAATTAATTCAAGATAAAGCAGGGTTTTACTTCTTTGTCTCAAATTAATCCTCTTTTAATGGAGGCATTGTTTGGATGCCTCCAGTAAAAGTGCGAGAGGGCCTGGGATATTTGCCCTGTCTGGATGGGCCCTGAATTAATATTGTAAACATCTAGTTCATACATAGTTCATAGGCTCTGTAATATTATTACAATATGATAAAAAGGTGATTTGTTTTGTTCAAGGAATGTTTTTCCATATTCTGCAAAGACCTTTCTGCGAAATCCCAATTTTGTAGAAAAGTGTTTTTGAAGAAATTGTGTCGAGCTGAGTAGCCTTGTACAGAGGTATGCTGAAAATGGATTATGTATTGTTTTGTAGTACAGAATGGTGAAAGAAGCTCTCCATGAACGTGCCAACTTGCTTGAAATTGCACCTCATCTATCTTCTCCTCTGCCGATTATGCTTCCCGTTTACAAGTAAGTCATCCAAAGTTTGTTGTATATTACCTGCACATAGGAGTATTACATTTGAAAACCTTTGTCACTAGGAATTTATGTCACATGTTGCTGTCTAACTGCGTTTTTCACAGGTTTTATTGTTGATTTTGTGGTGGTGAAAAGGTTGTCATTTCCTGGTGGAAGTGTGAAGTGTCAACTCCTTGAATACAAATTCCAGAAATGTACCCCTGTTAGTCTGTTACAATAGATGCAGACAGAATCATGTGGCCCTGTAAACACCACAGATGGATTATAGTGGCACAAACCAAGACCACTGCAGCATTGAAATGCTTCAGATGAAGTTTCGATTTAGAAATGAGCTTCAGAGTTGACAGTGGCTTCCTCCATGGATGCTGTACACAAGTGGCAACAAAACATCTAAGTAAATGTGTGCTTATTTTTAAAGGTGATGTTTAATTTCAAGATGTAAGCAATTTCAAAATTGTATGAAAGTGCAGACAGGTTATATGCATTTTTGGATGTTGTCTTCCTTCTTTGCTTCTCAGTAACATATATAAATAGGTCTGTCTGTCTATCTATGTCAGTGGTTCTCAACCTATGGCTCCCCAGATGTTTTGGCCTTCAACTCTCAAAAATCTTAACAGCTGGTAAACTGACTGGGATTTCTGGGAGTTGTAGGCCAAAACACTTGGGGACCTACAGGCTGAGATCTACTAGTCTGTGTAGTCAGGTTAGTGCCCTGGTTAAATAGCCAGCAAGTTCACAGCTGATATAAGGCTTTATATATGCAATTGTGCAATGTAAAAGATGTTGAGCTACAATTTGTGATTGTGTTTCATATCCAAAGCCAGTTGTGAAAAGAGAATTTCACTGCAACAACATGGGAAGTATTTGTGAATCAGGTTTCACTTTGAACAGACTGAGCAAATTTTTATATGAATAACTTGCGACTACCCAATTTAGTGCAAACATGAGATTGGTTTTTTTTATTTAAAAAAAATCTCTCTGTGATTGTGTTTTCTTTGTTAACTTCTAAGGCTGTTTTCCCGTCTCCCTAGCACAACAAAGAGTAGAAGTATTGCAGTTTGACTGCATTTTAACTGCCATTCTATGTAATCCTGGAATTCGTAGTTTGGTGATGAACCAGCACTCTTTGGCAGAGTGTAATATTACAACTTCCATGATTTCATAGCATTGAGCCATAACAATTAAAATGGTGTCAAACTTCATTAATTCTACAGTTTATATGCATCCTGAGTTATATAGGCCTAAGACTTCTACAGGTTGAGCATCCCTTATCTAAAATGCTCAGGATTAGAAAAGTTTTGAATTTTAGATTTTTCTTGATTTTGGAATACCTGCATTTGCATATACAGTATGTATAAATGTAATGAGATATCTTGGAGCTGAGACTTAAAACTAAACATGATATTAATTTAAGTTTGATGTACATCTTAAATGCTGGAAGTAATTTTATATAATATTCTTAATAATCTTGTGCATGAAACACAGTTTTTGTACATTGATCTATTAGAAAGCAAAAGTATTAAAATCCATGTAGATTTTGGAATATTTTCTGTTTAGGTATTCTGGTTGAGGGGTGCTCAGCTTTCATAGGCATAAAACCTCCTTTCTTTCTCTGCTCCCAGAAACCCTGCTGCCTACTAGTACACCAGAGCTGATTCAGGGTTTTGTTTCTTTTGAGGGGGAGAGGGTTGAGTGCTGAAGTGGGGGCTGTAGTGGGGAAGGAAGATCACTGGTTAGATTTTTTTTAAAATGTTATGTATTGTGAACTGGATTTTCTGTGCCTACATTGCCAGATAATCCAGTTCAAAGTAGATAATTTGGATTTTAAACAGAAAATAGAAGTGGCCAAAGAGACTTGCACCTGCCTTGCACTCTGTGCCATTCTGTGCTTTTGGGGTTACATTGGAAATTCTTTCATCCTTCTTCTGGTATTACTGAAGCCCACTGTTAAATCAGCAGAACCGCAATTGCATATTATCCTCCATTTTGATCGTGTGTATTTAAAATGTTTATTCTTCCATCACATTTTTAGTAATTGAAGATATATAACCATCATAAAGGCTCATAAAGGACATAAAGATCAATTTTGCAACAGACTAGTCCCTTTTCAGTACCATGGCACCATTGTAAGATGGGTTAGTAGGGTTGGGCAGTTTGGGCAACCTAGATCAATTTCGGTATCCCGGATTTTGGTGGGGACCCCATTCCATTTTTCAGGAAGCTTCCAAATTTGGCAGGACAGAAATCTGTTTTTGATCCAGGAAGCCAAAAGATTTGGGTGTCCAAACCAGCCGAAGATCCTTTTTGAAAACAGATCTGTGCACAAGTCTATGGATTAGTACAAAGCATCCTGGTCTGAAATAGTCATTCATTGAGCTTTGTTGAAGAGCAGAAATAAGAAGGGGGATTTCCCAAACATCAAAACACATTCATGTTCTTTTGACACTCCAGTAATGGGCTTCTAGGTTTGTGTCCCTTTGGAGAGGATAATATTCATGGCAATTGTGGGGTTGCATGTAAACATTTCATTATTAATTCATTTTCTGTATCTTTATCTTTTACAGATGGTGGCAGCTGCCATATTATTGGGTGGGAATTAAACTCTATGACCTTGTAGCGGGAAGCCAGTGCCTGAAAAGTAGCTATGTGCTTAGCAAATCAAAAGCTCTGGAACTCTTTCCTATGCTGCAGAAGGACAGACTTGTCGGTGCCATTGTCTATTATGATGGTAAGTTGTATCCCTACTACATACATTTAAAATTCAAGCAGTTTTCCACATTGCTTTCTATATATAATGCAAGTTTGAAATGCTCGTCCATCGTATCTTTATCCATAACCTTCTGCCCCATTTTCTCTGTCCTCTTCTAGTTGTCCAGTACACTACACCTTACTCTCACTGATTAATGGCTAATCATTACCTGAACAGTGGTTAATAGGTGACTGGACTATATATAAAGTGTCTGTTGAGTTGTTCTCTGTGGCCCCTTCTACAGCGCCATATAATCCAGATTGTCAAATCAGATAATCCACATTATCTGCTTTGAACTGGATCATTGGACTCTACATTTTCATATAATCCAGTTCAAAGCAGATAACCTGGCAGTGTACAAGGAGCCTGGGTGTTTTCATTGCAAATGATGCTTTTGTTTCTAGTCTTGTTTGAAACATGTGCTTTGAATGCAAACAGAGTGAAGGTGCTACCTTGGTTCTTGCCTCCCCTCTCACTCCTGATCCACTTCTGAAATTATGACTGTGGCCCCTTCTACACTGTCATATAAAATCCAGATTATCTGCTTTGAACTGGATTATAGGGCAGTGTAGACTGATATAATAAAGTTCAAAACAGATAATGTAGATTATCAGATTTGATAATCTATATTATATGGCAGTGTAGAAGGGACCTATGAGGCTTGAGGTTTTTTCATCAGTTATAGGCTGCTTGTGTTATGTTTCAGCTATGTGAAACTAGTGTACAGTTTCCTAATTTGATTAATGCATGACTGGTGATCCTGTACTGTCAACAGAGTAGTGTGTTGGGTTCAGAAGGAATTGTTTTCACCTTTCTAAAAATCTGTGATTCTATGGAATATTAACATATTATACAGTCATAACTCATTGTCTGCAACATGTAAGGACAATTACAGATCTTATCTTGAGAATCCAGACTTCCATGTCATCAAATGTCAGTTCAAGTACGATACTCTGTAGAGGAGCCAGTTCAATGTTCAGAGTCCAGTAATCAAATATTCAATAACTGTGTTTGGTGCATGAATATAGGAGGGTCTAGTCAACTAGAAATAAAGCCCGACTGCTCACTGGAGGGAAAGATACTAGAGACAAAGTTGAAGTACTTTGGCCACATCATGAGGAGACAGGAAAGCCTAGAGAAGACAATTATGCTGGGGAAAGTGGAAGGCAAAAGGAAGAGGGGCCGACCAAGGGCAAGATGGATGGATGGCATCCTTGAAGTGACTGGACTGACCTTGAGGGAGCTGGGGGTGGTAACGGCCGACAGGGAGCTCTGGCGTAGGCTGGTCCATGAGGTCACGAAGAGTCGGAGACGACTGAAAGAATGAACAACAACAAGTCAACTAGCCCTGTAATTCTAATGGAAAGAAGACATATTGGTGGTGTCTGAACTGTTTGCCAAATAAATATGTACTTTCTGTGCTGTCCTCTACCTCACTGACCCATGATTATATTTCCATTTGCTAAAATCCATAGCCGACTTGACAGCTGTTCTGGTAAATGTATCAGCCAAATAATTTTGATTAAGGAATTGTGGTTCGCCATCAGTAAGTTTCTCAAGTACAGAACTCTTCAGTAGCTTAACTAAACTTGGATGAGTCTTTGAGAGCATCCCATCTGCATTTTTGGGCACAAAATGAAATGTTACATGCATGTTGAATTGGAGGTGAACCTACATACATTTTAAAAAAGTATTGGGGAAAGCAGCCGACCAAAATGTGTTAAGAAATGGCAAGAAGCCAAGAAATTCAGTTTGAGATGTTGGAATGCAACTAGTTGCACAGTAGGATGCCCACTTAACTACTTTCTTAGAGCTCCCTGCCATGCCTGCATACTAAAGGCCAGTCTTTCCTATGAATTTCTTGTCTTTATGTTAGAGACATAAAATGCTTTTGTATTATCTTCTTTCCCCTCCCCAACACTGGATAATATATGGGAGCCATACAGTTTCTTTTCCTGTTGGGGTAAGAGTGTATTAATGTGCAGATTTGAAAAACCCTCATGTAGCCAGAAAGCCAGCTTTGTACTAGCAGGATGTCTCCCCAAGTGTTCCTTAAAAAAAAAAAGAAGAAGAAGAAGCTTCACACACATTTAAGCATCAAGGCTACCTGATGCTTCACTATGTACCCAAATCCCATTCTCCACAGATATGGTGCTTCATTGCCAGCACCTTTGAGAAGCTTTCTAATGGCGCACATTAAATGTGGGAGTGAGCTGTGATTTGGCAGCACAGTGAAACAGTTGTACAGTCTGTGTACTGAAATGCAAATCATGCCAAACTGTGCTTCTCTGTGCTAAATTGATCTGAGTGGAGTAGTCCAAAGTATGTATTGTAAAATTGTGGAGTGGCCATTGGAGTTTTAAATGAGAAAAATGTGAGGTCTCTAATTGACCACCTTCTCCTTTGTGTCTCTGTTAGAACAAATTGGAGTTAAGATGACCCCCACCTCTTCTACCAGTTGTCTAATGCCACTTAAGTAGAAAAGCTGACGCATGAGACGGTTCAGGATGTACCTGCTTGGTCATGTAAATGTACTCACCAACAGTGAGTGAGAGGCCATGGGTCAGCGACAAGAGAAGATTCTTTGCACAAAAAAGATTTCATGTTCAAAAGATAGAGTTTCAAGTAAAAGAACTCAAAAATATCTCTTATAATGGCTAAAACAACCTCAAAAATAGTTTGCTGGCTTGCTTTGAGGGCACAAAGATAGGTTTCCCTGGTGAATGACCTACCAGGGAAGTTGGAGCATGGGGGCAATCTATCCCTGCCTGGTTTTTGTGGACCTCTCAGAAGTTTTTCATACCATTGACCATGAAGTCTTTCTGGATGTCTCCAGATTGTGACTGGGAGGCATGATGTTATGATGGGTCCATTCCTTTTTGGAAGGAATGACTCAGTAGTGCTGTAGGATTCCTGTTCCACATCATGGCCATTAGTCTTTGCGGTCAATTAGGTTGCTGTCTTACTCCATCTTGGCCTGAAGTACCATCTGTGTTTGGGTGACATGCAACTCTAGCTCTTATTTCCCTCCTTGTTGTTTGAAGGAGCCTTTCGGCCTAGGTGTGAAATTTTGGCACAGGTAGGTAATGTTTTGGATTAAAGTATTGAATCCAGTACATGAGGAAGTGAGAGGGAGGAATGCTCCATCCTATTACTCATTCTTGCCTTCCTAAATCATACATTCCTTTTCTGGATTCCTGGCTTTCTGCAGAAGGGTGGCTGTTAACTGTAACCTAATGACTGAATGTTAGAACTGATCGCATTCCTTTGAGCTACATGTATTATGCATGGCTTCTGATCATTTGACTCTAGCATTCTACTCCAAAAATTTCATTAAAGGATGAAATGTGGAGATATATCAAACTGTTCCAGCCTGTTACGGGTGTAGTTTACAGTTGAAACATGCCAAAATTCTCTATGCTATTTTAAAAAATTCTTTTATTGAAAAAATGTTTGATATTAGCCATGTCCAATGATCCTTTTTCTGAAAAGGTAGTGGAAAATACTTTAAGTTAAAAATAATGAAGGCTGTCGGAATTGGACAGCTCCATTTACTCATTAATATACTGTGCCAGAAAACTTGTGCTCATAGTGTACACATTTTGTGAGTGCTACGGTCATTTTACTAGAATTCAGTATGCACAACTATGCTATTTCAACTAAAGTGTGGTATTTCAAAGTTATTGAAAGGTATCTAGCCTTCTTAAGCAGCATCGTTTTTCTTATATGGTCACTTGTAGAGTGGACTTAGGGCCCAACCAGGTAGGTTCAGAATCTGGGACCTGTCTTGTTCTTTACCAAAGGCATCCAGACTACGCCTCCAGTAAAAACAAATTAATTTGGAACAAATTAAGGTTTCCCTGATTTGTTCCAAATTAATTTGACACCCCATTAGATCCAGGCCATCATGAAAGACCTGGTTCTAATGAGGTATTGAGCCTGTGGAGACTCATTTCCAGGTAGTCTCGGGACTACCCGGGGGTGTGTCTCCATTGCCATTTCACACCTTTTGGACTCCTAGTACCCAAAGGTGCAGAATAGCACCCACCCCCTCTCCCCACGCCCCCAATTTTGCCCTAAAAGTTAAGTAAAAGGTACCTGGCCACCTTGGCCACCTTGACTTTCCTCCTCACCTCTCTCATCTCCTCAGACATAATTTCCTCTTGCCAGGAGGTGTGAGGAGGAAAATTATGGTGGCCAGGTATGTTTTACTTAAATTTTAGAGTGAAATTGGGGGACTTTGGAATGGCATGTAGCTCCCGGCCCCCCATGAAGCCCGATTTTTCTGGGGAATGGAGACTCAAAACCCGCATCGAAAAGCTTTATTTAAACCCGCTTCAGTGTGGATTTGAGTCCTGTCTGGAAGTGCCCTTAGGGATATTTTTTTCTCTTGGCCTCCTTCCTTCTCATGGTGCCACCCAGTGGCCATTCTTATTGTCACAAATGACACTCCAGACTAATCTTTCCATAAGGTTGGGGTTAAACATTGATGACTTTAGTCTCAGTTCATTTGTACACAAAATGTGTCTCAAAACAGCATTAAAAATGCAGATTCTGAGCCCAGGGAGTGCAGGATGGCTGAGAGGACACCATCTGATATCACACATGGTGATCTCAAATGGCGGTCTCCACTGCCTCAGCACCTGCAAAGATTCAGGTGTTCATGGAAGATCCAAATCTTTGCATTTTCCCCCTCCCCACACCAAGCCAGAGTAAAAGTCTTACCCCAGGTTACACCGAATTAGCCTGGGTGTACCGTTTGGATTCCCAGGCTAATGCAAGAGCCACACTAATCTGGCAGTGTAGACGGGGCCCCAGACTTTCCATTGCTATATGGTGATAAGTCATTATCTGTTTTAACTTTTTAGAGCAGCTTTGAGTCTGCTCTAATGATGATTATGGTGATGGTAGTGGTGGCAATGATGATGATCAACCACCTTTTTTCTTCCTGTCCACTCTAGAATATAATGATTTGTCCC